ATACTTTCCTGTACTTTACACATCATCTACAATGAGCATGTAATATTTTTATAATCAGAAAATAATAAAGAAAAAATTGTAACATTTTATTTATTGAGAACCCTTCTCGTATTGCAACGCTGGCAGAGCTGCAAGAAAGACTGAGTGCACCACCAATGTCAGAGTCCTGGTAGAAAAAGAATGAAACTCTAATGCCTGTGATAGGGACATATTTTGGCAGAGAAACCTTAGAATCTGGAACTCCCAGATTCTCCTAAATGTTCTGTTCTAGCAGAAGTACCCCTTTCCTCTTGCCAGAAGACAGCAGGATCTCCTTGTCTGGAGATGCTACAAAAGCCCTAACTGGCCTGTGCTCTTCCAATACTTGACCTTTCACCCCATCTGTTGCTAGATATTGTTGTCAAGTATCCGCCTGGATTGGAAAGAAACAGTTTCTGCTCTGGGAAGAGATGTCTTGTACACCAAAGGTATTGGAGGCCCTGGCTGAAACGTGCTGGAAAGAGCCAGGGCAACACGTGTAAGAATGGATCTTGAAGGTATTAGACTTAGGGGGATGAAGTACTAAGCTGGACAGGGGAGAAAAGACTATTCAGGACTGCTAGATATGAAGTGTGAGTTGACACTGAATACACCAGGGGAGCAAAAACACCATTATGTTCCTCTGGTTGGAATAGGGAACTATGGAAGCCAAATGATAAAAGGACTTCTAGTCCAAATACATTCCACAATGGTGAAGTGCATTCATAGAACCACCCTGTGGTTAGCCCAGAGAGTGGAGATTGGTAGAGATATATTTAGCAGAATCAGAATCTTTGCATTGGTTTCCTGATTTGAGAAGAGCCTTTACAGCAGAAAGGGCCAAGTGGAAGCCCTTGATATTACCCAGTCAGTCCACTGCCCTCTTCAGGACAAGAGAGTAAATTAGAAGCAATACTACATCAAGCAATTGCAGAGATTAGCACCATCATTAAAGACTCAAAGGATGCAGGAGTGTTCTATCCATTATATCCCTATTCCAGTCACCTCTCTGGCCTCTGCAGAAAGCAGGCAAACCCTGGCAGATGACAGCAGACTATTATTATAAACTTAACCAGATAGTAACCTTAATTGTTGCTGCCATGCTGAATGTGGTATCTTCCCTAAACACAGCCTCTGGCAGTTACAATGTGACTGTTGATCTGACAAACATGTTCTTCTCAATCCCCAAAAGCAGTTCACGTTTATCTGGAAAGGATAATAATCCACATTCACTTTCTTGCTCCAAACCAATGTCAGCTCTCTTGCTCTGTCACAGAGTAATCTACAGACCCTTTGATCATCTGCCCTTTCCAGAGAACAACACTGCACAAGAATGATGGCTTCATGCTAGTGGTCCTAGTGAGCAGGAAAAGGAAAGCACCTTAGATGCCCCGATAAGACATAAGTGTTCTATGGGGTGGGAGATAAACTCCATGAAGATTCAGGGGCTTGCCATGACGGAGAAATTTTTAGTAGTTCAACAGTCTTGGGCAGCAGTTCCCAACCTTTTTGGCATCACAGACCAGTTTTGTGCAAGATGGTTGCATGGGTGGGGGAGATAGGCAGCAGAGCTCAGAAGCCTTGCTTGGGACCTGGTTCCTAATAGGCCATGAAGCGGTACCAGTCTATGGCCCAGGGTTGGGGACCATTGATCTAGGGTATGCAGAACACCCCATCTAAGGTAAACAACAAGTTTCGCACTAGCACTCCTATCATTGAGAAACAGCTACAGTGGTTAATGGATTTTGGAGGAGGCAATATGCTAGAGCACAAATGCAGCTCTGGTCCATTTACCTGATGGCTTGGGAGGCTGCCAGTTCTATTTGGGGCACAGGGCAAGAGAAAGTGCTGCAGCAGGTTCAATCTTCCGTGCAAGTTACCTTAACACTACAGCATATTACCTAAAAGATCTGTGGGTCCTAAGGATGCTGTGCGGCATCTCTGGAAAATTCTACAAGCAGAGTTACAGCCTTAGAGTTCTGGAGCAAGACCATGCCTTCTGTGGCAAAGAACAACTCATCTTTTGAAAAACAGATCCTGGCATGCTGCAGGGACCTAGTAGAGTATACCATATTTTGCCATGTATAATGTGCACCCATTTTTTTGTGCACATTACACACAGGATTATTATACCCATGGTATGTAATCATTATACCCAGGCACAATGCGTATCCTTTATTTTTCTGTCAAAAATTTGGGCAACAAAGTACTCATTATACATGACAAAATATGGTAATTGCTTGACCTTAGGATACCATGAGTGGTGGGCTGCACAGTAAACCCTCAGAAGATATTCATGCCCTAATCCCAGGAACCTGTGAATACTACCTTACATGGCAAAAAGGACTTTGCAGGTGTGATTAAGTTATGGATCTTGAGATGGGGAGATTATCCTGGATTACTTAAGTGGGCCTGAAATGCAATCATATGCATCCTTATGAGGGGGAAGCAGAGGGCAGTCTGATAGCACACAGGAGGAGAGAAGGTAATGTAACCATGGAGGCAGAGATTGAAGTAATGCAGTGACAGAAGGGAATGTGGCATGTACCAGAACCTGAAAGCAGGTCAGTTAAGCTAAAGAGATTAAGGGGTGGAGGGGTGTGGATGAATGTGAGGTTAGCAAGGTCAAATAGACCTTGCCAACAGTAGTTAGAAATATTTAGCTGGAGGGAGCAGACAATTTGACCAACAGAAACCCATTAGGGTGGTGTGTGTGTGTGTGTGTGTGTGTGTGTGTGTTTCCTCAGATAAAAAGTATTCTTAGATAATAAGAACATAAGAATTCTGGAGGTAGGAGGGATTTGTTTAGCAGCTCAATGATGTCAGGGCCAACAGAAAGCCCTTTTTCCTCACAGCTGAGTCCAGCTCTGTGCCTCATGATCAAGCCAAAGGCAGAAAGAATGAAAAAGGGACAAAATTCATGGCAACTGTCTTTAAGATTTTATGTATTTATGTATTTATTTATTTATAGACTGGGGCGGGGGTAAGAAAGGGAGAGAATCATCAATGTGTGGTTGCCTCTCACGCCCCCTACTGGGGACCTGGCCAGCAACCCCAGGCATGTGCCCTGACTGGGTGTGGAACTGGTGGCCCTTTGGTTCACAGGCTGCCACTCAATTCACTGAGCCACACCAGCCAGGGTGGCAACTGTCTTTTATCAGGAAAAGAAAACCTTTCCCAGAAACCTCCCAGCAGACTTCTGCTTAAGTCTTACTAGACACAACTATGTCATCAGGCCACTCCTAGCTGCCAGGGAAACTGGAAGACCAACTGTTTAATTTTTCTAGATTCTTTAGAAGAAATGGAAAAGGAAGGAAAGTGGGAGTGGGTGTTGAGTTAGTAAGTTCACAGTGATCTTGCAGGTGTAGGGCAGGGGAGGGGAACAACTGTGTGGTTGGTGTCATTCTCTGAATGGATAATATTGAAAGATCATGAGTTCAGTTTTGGATATATTGAGTTTGAGATGTTTGGTAAACTGAATAATGACCTCCAAAAATATCTGTGTCCTAATCCCTGGAACCTATGAATATTACCTTCCACGGCAAAAGAAACTTTACAGGTGTGATTAAGTTGAATATTTTGAGATGGGGATATTATCTTGAATTATCCATGTGACCCCTAGGGGCAATCACAACTATCCTTTTAAGAGATGCAGAGGGAGATTTGGGTCCAGGAAAGTAAAAGATGTGACAATAGAAACCAGAGGTTAGAGGCCAAGGAAGGCAGCCTATTTCTAAAAGCCAAAAAGTAAAAGATTGTCCCCTCAGAGCCTCCAGAAGAAACCAACCCTAATGGCACCTTGACTTTAGCCTTAGTGAGACTGATTTTAGACTTCTGATCTTCAGAACTTTAAGAGAATAAATTTGTGATGTTTTGAGATTGTACTTTAAGTCTGTGGTAATGTTATAATAGCAGTAGGAAACAAAAATGTAAGGTGTCTTTAAAACACCTAAGAGATGTTAGGTAGGCTGTTGGACTTAGGGTCTAGAGTGAAAGAAGACTGACCTTGAGACATAAATTTGAGTGTCATATTCACGTGGTTGGCATTTGAAATTGTGGGAAGACATAAGCTCATATGGGGAGAGTGACGCTGCCTACTACCCACTGTGCATCTTTCAAGATATGGTACTCAACTTCTCTAAAACATTATTTATTGAACATTTATTCTGTGACGATATCATATCAAGCAATTTACATGCATCCTCATTTAATTCTCACAACCGCTTTATGAGGTAGACACCACTTTTATCTCCTATTTACAAAAAAAGAAAAACGATGTTAAGAGAGATTTGTCATTTGTCCAAAATCAGGGAGTACATGAGTTAAACAAGACTTAACTCATCAATGACATGATCCAGGAGTGTGTTAGGCCTACTGAATCAGAATCTGCATTTTAACAAGACCCCCAAGTTATCTGTACAGTAAGTATAAGCACTAGACTCTAGCCTGCCTCCAGAACGGGCTCCATCACTTGGGGAGGTGCTGCACCAAGACCCTAGCTCAGAGTTGTAAAAGCACAAATAGTTTTTCACCTCTGCATCTTTGCTCATGCCATTCTCTACCTGGAGCTCATCTCCTGTTGTAACTCTCACTACAACGCTGTCTCCTCCTCTAGCACGGTAAAGTCTCTAGGAGAGACAGTTCTCCATCGCACTGGTATTGATACCCCAACGCCGGTCAAAATTAAGACCCGGAGCAGTACAAGTCTGCTCCGGGTCTTACTACTTGTACTTAAGAATGAAGTAACGGGGTGGGTGGAAGAAGGGGGAGGCAAAAAGAAAAAAATAGTGAAGTAATAAATGAAACTTAACTGGTCGCCGCAGAGGCCGCGAGCCACACTAAGTCGCGAGTGAGGCCAGACAGTAAAATGACACTGAGCGGGAGGTTTAAACGCCGGAACGCTGGCCTCCCGGGGCGGGGCAGCTTAGCGCATGCGCGCAGCCCAGGGCGCTGGCTCAGACGACCTTCCCCGCATGCGCGGGAGCCCGGATGCGGACCAAGTTGGTAGAAGGCGAGGGTCTGGACAGTAATGGCGGCGCTCGGCTTTGCAGCGAGTGGTGGCAACTGGTTTTCGGCATTGGTACTCGGGGTGACTCTTCTCAAATGCCTTCTCATCCCCACCTAGTAAGGGGTCCACACGGTCAGGGGCTGGGCAAGGAGGCTCGCGGTCGGTCAGGGAGGGAGAGAAAAGTGTGGATGACCCGGAGTGTGAGAAGGAAAGGCAACTTGGAAGTGGTGTAGTAGCCGCTCAGCTTTTGCTAAGCTTCGCAGTCCACTCATTGATTGTTATTTGAATTTAGAACTAGTTCTTAGCCCTGGATGTATGGGTTCCGGCCAGGCCTTGTCTTTTAATGTTTCTGAGCCTCAGGGTCCTCATTCTTAGTATGCAGATTAAGAACACACACCTCCACTATTCATTCAGCTAGTGTTTTATCTGTTTCCTACTGTGTTAGGCACTGTTCTTAAGTCCTGAAGATGCAGTGCAGAGGAAGACACTTTCAGTTTTTTGCACGGGTGGAGTTGGTGGAGGCAAACACGAAAGTTTCAGGTTGTGACTACGGGACAAGGCTTTCCTTCTCTTTTAGGAGGCGATGTTTTGAGTTAAAATCCGACGACTGAAAAAGAATAAGCAATGTGAAAATCAGTTTAGGCATAGGAAAAAACAAGTGCAAAGGCCATGTGAGGAACAGAAAGTGGCCATTGTGGTCCAAGAGCAGTAAGTGAGGAGGTGAATGGCACAGGATGAGGTAGGCAGTGGTCAGATAACACAAGGTGAGACTGCAGTATGAAAAATGGATGCAGGGCCAAGACTGAGTGTGGAAACCAGTCAGGAAGCATCCACCGAGTGGTAATGTGTATACAGTGGGTACTCGATATTTATTACATTCGCTTCCATCTTATGTTCATCCTTGCTAATTCTTCTCCCTTGACTTTTCTCCTCATTTCTTTTTTCCCTTCCCTCCCTGGTTAGGGTTTGGTTTATTGGTATCCTTTGGTTCAAGTTCTTGATGACCTACCTTTGTTGATTTGAGTAAGGAAGATTTGTATGTGTAGAATGTCCATCTATACTGATGCATATTTGTAATTTACATAAGCAATAAAATGTACATGTAGGTTCAGCAAAATGACTTAATAGGGACCTTGGAAAAGAAGGGGTTGATCACTTGGACCTTCTGCATAACTGAAAGCAAATAAACATCTTCCCATTTGTTTAAAAACAAATTAGAAAAATCCAAAATGTAGGAAATTCCTTTCAAATCAATCAAAGAGACTTGTTTTAACTGTAAGTTTATGCATATAAGGTGATGTTTCTTGTTTTTGTTACTTCAGCCTAGAAATGTGTCTTCAGGTTTGTTATTTTGAATACTGCTCTTAATACTGATCCAGGATTAAGAACATGTAATTGTAGTTGATACTCTGCTTCTCAAACTGAAAACCCCTGGGATGTAAGATAGAAGCTATAGGATAAGTGTAAATGTATTAAACAAAGTATATACTAACTGCTTTATTATGTACTAGTTACTGTGGCTAGGCACTAGAGGGAAAGACAAAATGGATGTGGCCTTTAACCCTCTAAAGGGTATAGTTTAATGAGAATAACAGTTCTAGAAACAGATCAATGCAAGTATGTAATCACATAATCATAAATGTGTTAAGTGTTATGAATGAAAAGAGTAGGATCTGATAAGGGGACTAACAAGGGGGACCTATTTTAGATTGGGTGTCAGGAAGGGCTCTGAAGCACTGACACAATTGGAGGCATGAAGACATACCCAGTACCTGTCTTTTGGTAAACGTGTGCATTTCTGTTGACTCTACTATATGTACCTAGAAATGAAATTGCTAGGCCACTAGATCAGTTTTGAATTGAGATTTTGAAGAATCTAAGAAATTCAGGTGACATTTGTCAGTAGGAAGTTCGTCAGCAGGAAGTTGGAGATGTCTGCCTCTATAATTCAGGAAGAGACTGAGGTTGTATATTGTGATTTGGGAATCATCATTATACAATTGATAGTGGAAGTAATAAGTGTGAATAAGATTGTCCAGTAAGTTGCATTAAACTAGGTTTGCCTAGGAGAACATAAACACATAATATTCATCAGTTTTGGTGAATGTTCGAATGGATAGCAGTGAAAGAGACTTAGAAGGGGTTGACTAGGAAACTCAGAAGAGGGTTGTCACTGGGGAAAGGTTGTGTAAAACTTGGAAAGTATAAATCAGGTTTTGCTGTGGGAGTTGTTGACATTGGTGAGTGGTTAACTCAACAAGAATGTATTGACCTGATCCATGCATCAAGTGCTGTTCTAGATGTGGAGAGGAGGTACAGCAGTGAACAAAAAAAAATTGTACTAAAGAGAGGAGAAGGGTAGCAGAACATGCCACTCTAAAATATGCCTCTTTGGCATAAAGGGTTATTTTGGACTGATGATCTTGAGAAACTGCAGGCACAGGAGAAACTCTGAAAACAGCAGAAGTTACCCTTTAGTAAGGGAAATTTACATTAGAAGGGGAGCCTGTGTCAGAAAGAGAGCTATAACAGAAATCACTTTTTCACGTGAGAGACTTGTCTGCCTAGCAGGGCAACCTGATTTTACAAAACATTTGTTCTCACCTTCTCATGAATTGCCTTTCTGCCTTTGAAGACCCAGATACCTACCCCTTCACTCAGCTGAGGATGGTATATAAGGCTCAATTATCTGGTGCCTTTTGAGTACCATATTTTTTTTCATATCTTTTGGATCTGGTGTATATACCTCATTAATTAAAATTGGCTTTTTTGCCATGACTGGTGTGGCTCAGTGGGTTAGGCATCATCTTGCACACTGGAAGGCTTGGGTTGGGGACATGCAATTTTTTTAATCCTTAAAAAAATTTAATTGGCTTTTTTCTTCTGTTACTCTGTCTTAAGTCAATTTAATTCTTAGACCAGCCACAGAACCTAGGAGGTAATAAGGGGAAATTTTTCCTCCCCTACTGGGGAGATGCTTGAGTATATTCATACACAGTGAGGGGGAAAACAGGAAACAGATTTTGGCAACATGGGAAAACAAGTCAGGAGCCTTTTCCCACCTTTATTATCTAATGAACTCCTACTCACCCTTGATAATCCATCCAGCTTCTATATGAGGGCTTTTCCAGTAATGAATCTTGTTAGAAGTCTTTGTGAACAAGAGTTAGCCTGGGGTCTTCCTTAAGAAAATGTATGGGCTTTTGTTCAGCCCTTTAGTTTTACTTTTTTAAAGATTTTATTTGTTTGTTTGTTTGTTTGTTTATGTTTAGGGAAGGGAGGGAGAAAGAGAAGGAAACATCAATGTGTGGTTGCCTCTCACAGGCCCCCAACTGGGGACCTGGCCCACAACCCAGGCATGCGCCCTGACTGGGAATCAAACCAGTGACCCTTTGGTTTGCAGGCCTGTGCTCAGTCCACTGAGCCACACCAGCCAGGGCTGGTAAGCCCTTTAGATAACTCTGAAACCCTTTTCACTTGAAGTTTCCCAACTTTTCCAAAAGGAGGTCTGGCTTCCAGATTAATGAGGTTTTTCAGGATTGTGTATTGCCTCTTAGTTTCTTTAAAAAATGGTGAGCTGTCATTATGTAGGGGTGTAGGTCCATTAAAAACATTATGTAGAAATGTGAAATGTTAGAAATATGAAATTGGTAGATGTTACAGAGTTTCATTTTATTCATCTGATTGTCAAATAGCCATTCCACAGATTTTGAAGTACACCGAAACTGGCTTGCTATCACTCACAGTTTGCCAATATCACAGTGGTATTATGAAGTAAGTTTTAACTTTCACCTTTTTGTGTTTTGGTTTTTTCAGGATGATGTATGAAATCATAAAGTATTATAGATGTTAAAACAGTTTTCCATGTGATCATAGGTCAAATAAATCTTTATAAAAAGCATGTTCTTTCCTCAGTTCTGCCCTCTAGCATTGTTAGGGAGTCCCTTCAAAAAGAGTTTCCCAAACGGTAAATTGGTAATTATAATATTTGTCACATGCTTTTTGAAAGCACATTGGATTGGGACAATAAAAAATTGGTTCTAGGCCTGTCTCTGCCACAGTATATTTCATTTGTCCAAGCCTTAGTTTCTCATCTGGCAAATGAGGATTTAGGATGAATTATCTCTATGGTCCTGTCTCTCCCTAATGTTGTGCAATTTATGAGAAAAGGAATAATCAAAGGTGATATGTAGGCATCCGGTGATACACAAACCATTCTCTTCTATTATTTATAAAAACCAGATCTGTATTTTTATTTCTGATAGAATTATTAAACTGCATATGATACTCATTTTACATAGGAAAATTAAGTATCTGAGACAGAACTTAAACCCAAGATAGCACTATGTCATAACCAAGTTTATTATTATAAGGTTTGAGATTAATTTCTTTTGAGCTATAGTTGACTCTAAAGAAATTGACGATCATACTTAGGATATGGGTTCTAATGTTCTGCTCAGTGTTAACATAGAAGTTACTCTATTTGTGGTATATTTTAAGTGCAGTTTCATGTGCTTTTTTAAAAACGTGAGAATCTTCACACCCCCTTTGTTTACTCAGTTACTTAGGATATGTTCTACTTTCAATTTTTACCACAGGCAACTTCAGAGTGGACCTTGGACTACCCCCCTTTTTTTGCATGGTTTGAGTATGCCCTGTCACATGTTGCCAAATATTTTGATGAAGAGATGCTGAATGTCCATAATCTGAATTATAACAGCTCAAAGACCATTCTTTTCCAGAGATTTTCCGTCATCTTCACAGATGCACTCTTTGTGTATGCTGTGCATGAGTAAGTCTGAGAATGTCATTTTGTGTGGAAGGTGTTGAGAAAATAATTATATTATGAACTTTACAACTCACTTGGGGGAAACAAAGTTCATATAATAGCAAATTTTAGAACAGTCCAAAACCATGTTTTTGTGTTTTAAACTGCGCAGTGTCTACCTGAATTTTATGGAAGAAAATGGGGGAGAAGGTGGGGCCATAAGGCAGAGGTAGAACAAGTGATTGAGTGTGGCAAAAGGTAGTCCCAAGCAGAGTTCCAAGACCATTTCTCCCGCCCAGATGGCTCCATGTGCTTCTCTTTCCTTCCTTGCAGCAGGCCCCCCAAGGCTCCCATGACCCACCCTATACACTCACGTACACATGCGTGCTGTGCTGACTGCCAGTGGGGCTTCCATCCTAGTGAACTCAAGAAATCTTATAGAATGCTTTTAGTTATCTTCTAAATTCTTCCATCATGAAGACTCTCTACTAATGTTACGTCCATATTTTATATTATTGTTTTGTATCTTTTACCTATAAATTAATGTTAAGTAGTTAAATACACATAAATAGAATATTTTGCACAATGGCTTCCAAGTAGTAAGTTTTTGGTTAATGTTGCTTTCTATTCTGTCATGATACTGAAGCCTACTGTTATGCTTGTGACAGCACTAACTGGTGTCCATTCAGTGACTCTGGTCATACGTAGATCATATCTGTGTGTGAGGCCCTCTAGACTACACCCTCACCCCATTTGGGAAAGAGTCCCTTAGGAATGTTTTGACCCCTGCTTATTTTCATGGAGTAACTCCTATTTGACACCCTAACTTTCAATCTGTTTATGACCTCACAAGAGTTGGAAGGAAAGGTGATTTGTAATGTACTTCTTTCAACTCAATTGTTTGAATTCAAGTTCCCAGGGAAGAGGCAGAAAGAGAGAGTGAGTAGAATTCAAGTCCATCTTCAGTGTAGAGAGGGCAGTTAAGTAAGGTAAAAGTCATTGAAATCTATGTGCTGGTTCCCAGAACCAGGCACTGTGTATGAATTAGTAACTTACTTAATTTTCTCGATTACCGTGTAAGGTCCCTATTTCTAAGGAAACAGGCTCCTTGGGGGGAAAGCAGGCATCTTTTACAGCTTTTTAATTGCATCTTTATTGTGTCTCTTTTTTTTGTTGTATAGAATATGCCAATACTCAAGTGAAACACATTTTTTAAAAATATTACTAGACTAACACATCCTCATTATAAAATTTTGGAAAACAGAAAAGCACGTAACACGCACAAAGTGAAAATGACCTGTACCCCTCCACTTACAGCTGTCGCCATCAGCAGTCTGGTGCCTGTTATTTCAGCCTCTTTTCTGTGTCTGAATTAATCTTTATAAAACAAGAATGGGATCAGCTGATATTGTCATTTATAGTATGTATCTTTCTACCTTTAAATAACATACATTCTTACAAAGGGATTTTTAAATTATTTGGACTTTAAATTATTCAGATAATCAGGAGGTACAAGTTCCTGGCTCTTTTTCCCCTCTGCCACCCCCTCCTAAACTCTGGAAGCTCTATTCTTCACGTGGCTGGTATGATGGTATATAATGTAGAGCACCACATCATCCTGGTCTGCATTTTTCACCCTTAAGGGCTGAAATAGTGTGTGCCCTCTCAATTTTCAAAACCCTTACTTTTGGGGTTTTGATAGCAGGGATTTTGTTGTTGTATTGGGGTTGGGTTTTCTTTTCTTTTCTTTTTTTATTGAGTGTAAAGACTGTTTCAAAGCAGCATAGCTGAGAAAGAGACATGGAACCATCCCTGGGGTCTTTGTTTCTACTATCCGCTTTTAAAGCAGTCAAATGGCACAGACAGCTTCATGAGGAAGGGCTAGTAAATGTATCAGAGTGTGCTACAGTATACCTCGTAGAAGCAGTGTGATGTTCTACTGAAGATCAAAGTTGTTTCTGATCCTTTCCTGGTTTTTCAATGTAGGTGCTGTAAGTGCATTGATGGGAAAAAAGCAGGTAAAGAACTTACAGAGAAGCCAAAGTTTATTCTGTCAGTATTACTGCTGTGGAACTTTGGGTTGTTAATTGTGGACCGTATCCTTGATGTATTAAATTCTATTCCCTTATTCTATTATATATTATAAGATTAATTTTTTCTCTAATGGTGATTCTGACACATGAGCTACTTTGGACATGCACATGGGGTGGGTGTGGGTTCCCACAACCGTAGTCTTCCCAACTTCACTGGACTCTGTTAGAGAACTTTGTCCCTGATAACTTAGTGGTAATATGCAAGAACCAGTTAAACCAAAAGTAAAGCAACATACTAGGATTTGTTAACTGTCTGTAGATTAATCTAACACATAGTTATTAAATAGTTTTATAGCACATTATTCTAATGCCTTTTATAGGAAAGGGCATATCATAGGGTTGCATTTGGGAACAGACAGGTAGGTCTTCATGCTTTTCTGCCAGCTTGGCTGACCACAAATTAACAAGCAGAGTTCTAAAACCCTAATAATAGAAGCCTAAGTTTAAGTTTGACCTGGACTCAGGTCCTAGTTATGTCATCACAGTAGCTTTCAGCTGTGAGTAGGTTAATGTCTCTGAGCTCAAACTCCCTTACAGGTTCATTGTGAGGCTTAATGAATAAGGTTGTACACGTACTATAAACAGTGGGGTGCTATATTCTGGTGGTCCTCATTAGCTGTTAGGTCTCTTCCTATTTTGTCCCTAATTCTAAATAACAAAACAAAAAATTGTACCAGCTGGGTCTTTAGGATAAAAAACATGGGAAAGTTTTCTGGTTTTCTTCTTTAATATAAATCTTAAAGTAAGTTTGTCCAGGGTATGACTTTACAGAAAACACATTATGAAAAGTCCAAACTGGAAGAAATATTTTTGTCTTTACCTATTAAGAAAGCATTTGCAATTTTTAAACTCAGTTTATTAGCACAGTTCATTATGAATCTGGTATCCTTTGTTGTCTTTCCTTGACCTGTCTTCAGATATTCATTTCCAGTACAACGGCTTTTTGTTCGGATTAATGCTGCTCTCCATTGCACGATTATTTCAGGTAAATACAAAATAGGCTAATTAGATTTTCCCCCTTAAGTTTGTTTTTTAGCTTATAAAGGCTACAGGGTAGTGAATGATGGGTAAATTTGACTGTTTGAGTTACCAAGTGCAGTAACAACTTTTACTGAGTATTTTTCACAAATTCCGTATTTGCTCTTTAAAATAAGTATTATTTATTTTTAGAAAGAGGAGAAGGGAGAGAAACAACAATGGATTGCCTCATGCCCACCACCAACGGGGCATGCACTCTGACCAGGCACTGAACTAGAGACCTTTCGGTTTGTAGAACTCCTCTCAACCCACTGAGCAGCACCAGTCAGGGCACACATTCTATCTTCTCTCTTGACAGTTTTCTTCATTTTACAGATGAAAAAATGTATTCCAAAAACTTTAGAGTATGGCAGTCCTGAAGTGCACTTGAGATTCTACACTTGGTCGGGATCATTTATCTAGAAATGAAATCTTCAGCAGTTTTTACAATGTCATTACTATTATGGTGGGGCATTACCATCAGAAGCCCATAGTATAGTGTCATGGAAGTTATGGGATTTGGAACCGAAGACCTGGGTTGAAATCCTGACTAACCCTATTCAGGGGACCCCAGCCTCCAGGCTGTGGATGGATACAGGTCGGGGCCTGTTAGGAACCAGGCCACATAGCACGTGGTGAGCACTTGAATCATCCTGAAACCATCCTCCTTCCTGTGCCCCCAAACCACCCCCCATTCCCAGTCCGTGGAAAAACTGTCTTCCACGAAATGGGTCCCTGGTACCAAAAAAAGTTGGGGAGAGCTGTATGTGACTCAAACGGGTTACTGAAGTGCATTGTCTGCTCCAGGTTAGGTTCATTTTATATAACATTTTATTGAACAAACCTTGCGACTACTGGGTTGGCCAAAAAGTTCATTTAGTTTTTTCCATATGATGGTTCTAGTAACACTTAGTTGTCTTTAACTTCATTTGAAACAATTTTGTTAGATGATATTGTGACAGCTGTCATCTCAGCATGCATTTTTTTAAAAAACCTTACCAAAATTTGTGAATTACTGTGCAGCCATTTTAATATTGAAAATGAAAGAAAATATGCAACATTTTAGGCGTATTATGCTTTATTATTTCAAGAAAGGTAAAAATGCAACTGAAATGCAAAAAAGTGAGTTTTGCAGTGTGTGGAGAAGGTACTGGGATTGATCAAACATGTCAAAAGTGACAAACATGTCACTAGTGGTGCCAAGTTTCTTGGCACTGTTGACATTTTGGCTAAATAATTCTCTGCCATGGGGCTGTCTTATGCATTGGAAGGTGTTTAGCAGCACCCCTGGCCTCAACCCACTAGAAGCCAATAGCAGGAGATAGCTGACATACTCAAAATATCCAAATCAATAAAGTTATTGGTGAAAATGAAAAATGTGCTTTTTATTTTACAGAAAACACTGAATAGACTTTTTGGCCAACCCAGCATTTTGTGAAGTTGCCATAATTATTAGTCTCCTTTTTATAGAGGGAGAAATCAGAAATCCAGATTTTTAGGTCACCCCTCTGTAGACTGAATCAGAACCACTGGGATTGTGCTTTAGGAATCTCCAGGGAATTTTAATAAGGTGCTGGGTCTGGGAACCATTGACCCGGTGCAAGTCATTTAATCCTCTCAGCCTCTGTTTTCTCATCCTTAAAATGAAATTTACCCCTTGTTATATTTTTATTTGTTAAATGGGGTTACCTACCTCACAGGGACTTTGGAAAGATCACATTTGATAATCTGTCTTAAAGTTATTTGTCAACTACAAGTGTCTGAATAAGTTTTTAACCATAAAAAAACACACAGAACTGGAAACATAACTGGTGTTCAATAAATGGTTGTTGAACAAATGAAAAGTGTAGCTATAGAGAACCAGCTAGACCTTCTCTGAATCTTAAATTATAAAATTGGTGAAGAGAGATCTGGGACCATCTCATTGTTCTTCCCTATTGTTCCCAACTCATCTATTCCAGACCACACCTGATGAGACAAGTGAGAGAAGGAACCTGGCCTTCCAGGGTCCCTCTGACAGTTTCCTTTGCTGAACCCCAGGACGTTATCTCATTTGATCCTTCCAGAATTCCTGGGAGGTAGGTAGAACTCACACTTCTGTAGTCATAGTCAACTTGGGTGTTTCTCTTTTTAATCAGAATACCTTTAGTTTTCTTAGGTAGTTCGTTAGGATCAAGTACTGCCCTTCATGCCTTCAGCCTGATCATACTATATGTTACCTGACCTGTAATACAAGGTTTAAATAATATTTTGGTGGCATAGCATTATACGTATTCATTGAAGCTCTCACTCCTCACCTCCAGAAATCAACTCCAGCTATTGTAAAACTTTGTAAGGGGTGAGGGCAATTTAATTCTCTGGGCTTCGGTTCCTGAGGGAGAATTTGCAGTGTGTTGTCAGGGTGGTGTGTCCTGTGCCTCAGCATCAGGCTTAGAACTGAATGAATATTTGTTGAAATAAGAAATTTATGAACCTGCTAGACTCAGTATAAAAGCTAGCTGGAATTACTTGCCTGTATTTACCTTATAGTGCATGTAGAATACTCGCCTGAATTTTTAAACATTTTTATCTTAGAAAATTTAAATCACACACAGAAGTAAAGAAAATAGCATAGTGTTCTACACATATGCACACACAAAGGATTACTTTGGAATGTATCTCAGACATGTTTCATTTGTTAAGTATTTCAGAATATATCTTTAAAAATATGTATTTTTAAATAATTTTACACTTTATTTTCCTCACAGTGCCTTATGATCTGGTATGTGATGCCTAGTTGTCTGAGATGAGGAAATTATAAAAATCTTGTACCCGTTTGTTTTTTTTTTAAGATTTTACCTATTTATTTCCAAAGAGGGAAGGGAGGGAGAAAGAGAGAGAGAAACATCAATGCGTGGTTGCTGGGGGCCGTGGCCTGCAACCCAGGCATGTGCCCTGACTGGGAATCGAACCTGCGATGCCTTGGTTTGCAGCCTGCGTTCAATCCATTGGACTACGCCAGCCAGGAAAAATCTTGTACTTTTAATTTTCTATATTATGTCAGTGTGCAAGAACAATTAAAAGGATTTAATTTTAACATCTTTAAAATATGGTTTTTTTAATTGTGGTAAAATACACAACATAAAATTTACTACCTTACTCATTTTTAGACAGTTCAGTAATGTTAAGTACATTCACATTGTTGTGGAACCATCTCTGGTATTCTGTATTGTTTAACATATTTATTGAAATAATTTTAGATTTACAGAAAGGTTACAGAGATAGTACAGATAGTTCTTGTATCCTTTGCCCATTTCCCCTCATGTCGCCATCTTATATAACTGGTATGTTTTTCAGACTGAGAAACTAATTTTGATACTTGGATTTAATGTCCTTTATCTGTTCCAGGATCCAATCCAGGACACTACATTGCTGCATTTAATTTACCCTGAATTTTAAAGTGATTTTCCCTTTTAAATCTCCCAGAAAAGGCACGTAGAAGGAGCATTTCTCTTTGCTATTCTCCTACATCTCAAGCACATCTACCTCTACGTAGCCCCTGCCTACGGTGTATATCTGCTGCGATCTTACTGCTTCACTGCCAACAAACCAGGCAAGTGTTAGTGAGAGCGGCAACTCTTGTACTCCATCGGGTTGGCCAGAAAGTCCGTTTAGTTTTTCCTGTAAAATAAAAGACACATTTTTCATTTCCACCAATAACTTTATTGACTTGGATATTTTGAATATGTCAGCTCTCTCCCACGTGGCATAACATTGTTCTTAATTAATGTCTCTATTTGATCACTATCAACTTCATCTCGTCTACCCAACCATGGAGCATCATCCAGCGAGAAATCTCCGACACAAAGCTTCGTTAACCACTTTTGGCACATTCGATCAGTTATAGCTCCTTCTCCACGCACTGCACAAATCTGTGGCATTTCAGTTGCATTTTTACCTTTATTGAAATAATAAAGCATAACACGCCAAAAATGTTGCATATTTTCTTCCATCTTCAATATTAAATGGCTGCACAGTAATTAACTAGTTTCAATAAGTTTCTTAAAAAGTATGCACTGATATGACAGTTGTCACAATACCATCTAACAAAATTGTTTCGAATGAAGTTAATGACAACTAAATGTTACTAGAGCCATCATACAGAGAAAAAAACAAACCTTTTGGCCAACTCAATATTTTTTCTTGATGTGGTGGCTTGCTTGGTGAGGTTACATGAAGCACAACAGATACCTCTCAGCTATTCATGCTATAACCCCTGACCCATTCTGACTTTTCTCTGCTCTTGACACATCATAAAGATTGATTGGCGTATTATCAGGGGATCCTTCCAGTTTCAGCACATAGTCCATATACGTTATGGTTTTCCATGCTCCTGTTTAATGAGAATGTTTCTTTTTTGTAGATGGGTCCGTTCGATGGAACAGTTTCAGTTATGCCCGATTTATTTCCCTGGGACTGATTGTTTTTCTAGTTTCTGCTCTTTCGTTGGGTCCTTTCCTAGCCTTGGTAAGCCTTTTCTTTTTTATAAAGTAATACATGGTTTTTGTGTTGTTTAGAAAGACAGAATAAATTTAAGAATATAAAATAGGCAAAACTAGTCCTTTTTTACAGCTCTTCAGTATGACTCTCTGAACACAGGGACGGCATTCCTTGAGTCATTTCTGTGCACATTCAAATACATATGTATGTGCGTTCATATGTTTAACTGTGTGTCTTGCACACGGTCATCGTAATCTGCAGACTCTGTACTTGCTGCCTTGCCTGCTTGCTGAACTCTCTTTATAACCTCAAAACTTGAGGCACTTCCACAGTCATTCACTGACAGCATTCTAAAGTGCCTAGAATGTTAGAAATGTTCAGCAAATCTATTTTTCCTTCTTCCCTCTCCCTGAATTCAGCCATTTAATTTTAATTTGTGCTAGAACTAGAAAGCAGTGTGTCTTGTACAGTCTTCCCTGCTGTTGCCTTCTCTTCAGGAGACTTAGATACGCTGCAGTCTTTCTCCTTTGTGCCTCATAAATGCTTCCATTATTATACTGATATTATAATAGTATTGGATGGTATTCAAAGTACTTTTGTGTGTCTTGTCGCTGGACAGATCAGAAGGTTAGACAGAAGAGGTTCTGTGAACTGCTCGAGATGACAGTCTTTACTTGAAAGAATAAAGACTGGAACTCAGACCTCATAACTGTCTATACACTGTGCTAAAGACAGTTCTCTTTTGAATTTGGAAAAGATTGATCACTGTTTAATCTCTTCTCAACAGAACCAACTGCCTCAAGTCTTCTCCCGGCTCTTCCCGTTCAAGCGGGGCCTCTGCCATGCGTACTGGGCTCCAAACTTCTGGGCTTTGTACAGTGCTTTGGATAAAGTGCTGTCTGTCATCGGTATGGCAGCAAGCTTTCTCACTCAGACTCTGAACATTGAAAGGGCTTACCCCATTCAGAAATGAAAAAATTTGCTGTGTATTTTGAATGAGGTTGAACGCTTGTTCCCCAGCCTTGCGTTTCAGCTGTCAGAATGAACAGGGGGTGGTTCTTCTAGGGAGTCTTCAGTGCAGTGAACAGACTGTGTCTTATGAAAGCTCTTAGTGGCAATAAGGTTGTTGATCCTTTCCTTGTGGGAAAAAATTAAATATTTAGACATTTTTTAAAAGTAGTTTTTGCCATAAATAAAACACTCTTCAGTAGTTAATCCTACTTTTAAACTTAAATATGGGGAGAAGCTGGCCCGAAGAATATGTAAGTTATGACTCTTTAAGTAAAACCAGTGCGGGAAATGATAGCCATGCACTTCAGCATGAGATGAGCAGAAATGGAAAACCTGGGCTATGTTTTTAAGTTTGGATTGTGATGAGAAGTGACTTATACCTGAGATGGTTCTACTGAAAATAACTCACGGTCTTCATTTGTGAGTACGGCCTAGCTGTATGGGAAGTGGCAGGGTTGAGTGGAGGGTACGGAAACATTTTCCTTAATGGGCCAGTTAACAAATACTTTAGGCTTTGCAGACCACATAGATGTCTTTGTTTGTTTGTTTGTTTACAACCTATACAATATTTAAAAAAAACATTCAGAGTTTCAGGGCTGTGCCAAAACAGGTCACTGGCTGGATTTGGCCCTCAGGCTGGAGTTTATCGACTCCTCATCTAGCATCTAGAATCTGATACTTTGGTTGGGGCCCACCTGCATAAATTGCTGGCTGCAAGGCACTGTGCAAGTCATTTAATTCCTCTAGTTTTGCTTTCTTCGCTGTAATAAGGAGATAATAGTATTTATTTCCATGAAGCATGTAGTGTGAAACAAATTCAGCAATAGAGAAGTGCTGTGCTGTCAGCAGCAGAGGCTCTGCAACTAGACAGAACTGGCATCAGTTCCACTACTCACTAGTTGGTGGCTTTGGGCAGGTTACCCCATTCTGTGTGCCTCAGGGCCTCAAAGTAATGGCTGTAAATCCCTGGCACATTGTATGTGCTTAATGCATTGAGGCTGTTGTTACTGGTTTTGGAAAGTACTTGTAGGAAATCCTAATTTGGTCCTATCTTTCATCCATTGTGAATCTAGTTTTGATATGCATGGCATTCTTAAAAAGGAGTTTCTGAGCATACTTCAAAAAAGCTTTGAACAACTAGTATGGGCTAAGGTACAAGAGTCACTTGCCTTGTCTGAGTCAGGAAACTTCTGATTTCGAGTATCTGTCTTAAAGCTGTCTTAGTGGAAAGTCTGTGGCAGATGAGGCAAGTATGTTTCAGGGAGGTTGCGGTTAGCTTTAAGAGAGAATCATTAGGATGAAGGAAAAGCGAAGAGGGGGATGACTAGACAATATTTTGGTAGTATGTACCATTCCCACATTTCATTGATTTTTAGCAACATTACGCAGGGCTCTGTCTCAGACTACCCCTGACCGTCCTATCAGCTGCTTTGGGATGGGGCTTGCATCATCGTCCTCAGACTTAGTTCATTTAATAAGCATTTTTTGAACTCCGATGTGCTGGGAACAGGAATGAATTACTCATCGTTCCAGCCTTTAAGGAACCCCCAGTACAGTAGAGGAAATGAGTATGTCAGCAGATCCAGTGTAGTGTGGTGAGCAGTAGAGACATGTGCAAGGTACACCTGGCCCACAACAAAATCAGCTTTATTTCTTGATTTAGGAGCTTTCTCAGATGAGAGAATTAGGAATTAACTTTGCAAAGTGAGTAGGCTATTCTAAACAAAGGGAATTGCCCGTACAAAGGGACGTAAATGTTGAGAGTGGTATGTCAGGTCACTGTGGCCACGTCACATTTAACAACATTGAGGAGCTGAGGCTGGTGAGGCAGGAAGGGGCCAGGTCGTGGAAGACACTGTGTGCCGTGCTTAGGATGTGGACTTGGCCCTGGAGGCAGTGGACAGTTCAGAGCCAGGCTGTGACTCGGTCAGGCCTGTATTTCAGAAAGCTCACTTCATTTTAGGGGTGGGAGCAGATTGCTCTTCACGCCACCTGCCACCAAGGCCCCTGTTAAACTGCACAGATTTCCAGTTCCAGTTCAGACAGCTCTTGCATGGTGTAATCTCAGAACCAGCAGCATTTTAGATAGAATAACACAGAATTGAGTTAGTGAAATCTTAACTTTGAACTAGTTATAGTTCAAAGATGTCGTAGCTTATTATTTTTTTCTCAAGGAATTGATTGGTAAAATATGGCACATCATTGATCAAAACAAAACGAAATGTCTACTTACTGTGTAGGTTTAAAATTGAAACTTCTTGATCCCAACAAGATCCCTAAGGCCTCGATGACAAGTGGTTTGGTTCAGCAGTTCCAACACACAGTCCTGCCCTCAGTGACGCCCTTGGCCACCCTCCTCTGCACTCTGATCGCCATAGCGGTAAGAATTCACCAGTAGTACTCATTTCTTGAGTTTTCTCTGCTTCACTTCTGTGTGGTTAAATTTCAACTTTCGAGTTTTTTCAGCCGTAGCCTAAGTTCCAGGGCTGTGACCCCGCCGCAGATTGAGGCACTGCCTAGCACTTCTTAGAGCACAGGTGGCAAACACATGGCCCTCCACCTTGTGTTATCCAGACCAGCACCTTGTTTTTCTACCTGGCGGCAGCTCTGAGCTCTCACTTAACTGTTAAGGAGTAGTTGCATTTATATAGTCCTAAAATTACATTCAGCCCTTTGAAGGCAACCGTGAGGCTGATATGGCCCCCGGTGAAAATGAGTTTGACACCCCTGTCTTAGAGTAACTTTGAACACTGTAAGGAAGGATGGCCAGTGGGATGAAGAAAAAGAAAAGCCCCCAGAGAAGGGAGCACCGGCCACCTGGTGGAGAAGGAGGAGGACGTTTGTAGTGGGGACATGGAGGTTTATGTTGTTGTTTCCATCCATGGCTCACTGAGCAGAAATCCAGAGCTGTCTGGGACTGCATGGACATGGATGAGGAGAGAGTCAGTGGTGGCTCTTTGAGCATCAGGTAGGAATCTGAGTCGGATGCTGTTAGTGGCTTTATATGTATTGTTTTTATTTGTTAGTGATTCTGATGCCTTCAATTCCAGGCATAAGTTTAGTAGAATTCAATAGAAAAACTCAATCCTACCTATAATTACACTCAACTTTAATTTTGACTTCTAAATGATTGAGCCTACTGTCAAGACACCTGACCTCACTGAATCACACGGCAGGACCAGTCAGGAATTAGGTTCTGTGGCCTCCTTGTTCAGGTGCTCTGAGGTACAACTTCCCGCTAACACCTCAGACGTGTAAGCTGCTTACAGAGGCCACAGATTTATTGTAAATTATACTCCAGCCCACAGAGCTAGGTGTTTGTTTATCAGTGTAGTAAAATCTAATTATTATTAGCCCCAAAATATCTATGAACTTTTGTAGTTTGACCTATAGGTTCAGTGACTATTAATTAATTATGAAGATGTAAGGGGTTATACTGATATCTTTGAACTTAATATCATTTCTTACTAATTTTAATGAATTATATATCTAAATGGCTTTTTTTGCACAGTTAATTTTCAGTGAACTGTTTACAAAGTGATGAATCACATCAGTTTAATGGAGAATAGTCTTATGATCTGTTTTTCAGAGATGGTGCAAACTGTATTCACCTGAATTGTGAATGCCTATTCTGTGATGCCTATTTCAAATGATACTGAAGTTTCATCTTTGCCTGTTGTTTCTAGCCCTCTATTTTCTGTCTTTGGTTTAAACCCCAAGGGCCCAGAGGCTTTCTCCGATGTCTCATCCTTTGTGCCTTGAGCTCTTTCATGTTTGGGTGGCACGTCCATGAGAAAGCCATCCTCCTAGCGGTTCTCCCAATGAGGTAAGCTCAGTCAGTTGGCATTTCTGGAGTATTTCAATGTGGTTCTATTGTTTTCTGTTTGATGTCCGTTCTTGACATGTTCAGTGGGATGGCAAATGCCAAAATGTGCAGGCACAGGTTTGTACTAAGACAGGACAGGGATGCTTAACTTCGGATCCTTGCAACCTGTGAAGGTTCTAAGGTATACAAAATTGGACATATTGGTCCTGCACATTTTGGTGTAAGTGGTACTGCAGTGATTAAGCACCGTGACCCCAGGCTGTTACATCTGGATGTTTAGTGGCAGCATAGTGGGGAAAAAAGCGTGGGCTTTGGTGTCATCACATCCAAGAAAGTAAGGTCCACTGTTCCTTGTTAAGTGTTGTTAGTTAAGGAAAGGATTGAGTCCATTGCGCAACAATCCCTGACATAGATACAGCATTCAGGTTTTTCAGAACTGTGATTTTGAGGGGGGGTGCTTTCTTTTTGTGCTCTTCTGAGCCCCACAACAACCTTGAAGATAATTAGAATAAATGAATATCATTTCCTCTCTTAACATCTGCAGCAACTGGGGCTCAGAGAGTTTAAATGACTTATTCAAAGTCACACAGCCAGTAAGCAGCAGAGTAGGACTTAAACCTGAATCTTATGATCTTTACACTGTGCCATACTAAAAATGCATTTTAAATGGAGTAGTGTCCATTTTGTATATAAGAAAAACCCAGCAGATAGATAGATGGTAGTAGAATTTGCATTTTTCCTTGAGATTTTTTTTAAGTCCTGAGAGAAATCATTTAGGCTCTGAAAGAACCATAGGCAAATTGATCAGGCCAGTATATGGCTTGTCTGGGATCATTTAACAACTTGGAGTTTCCAAATTAAAAAATAGAACAAAATTTCTAATGTCTTTAGTTACAGTTTTTATTGAACACCAGCAGGCTCAGGGCATTGTCCGAGAGCAGAGCTGTAGGATTGGAAATTGAACTGCCAAGCTCTGTTTCCTGGCTACCCACCACCAGGCCGCTCCCAGCCCCGCAGTGGTCCTTTCTTGGAAGCAGGCAGTTAGTTACACAAGGCAGCTAGATTCTTTTTTTGAGTATTCTCCGATGCAATGTGTTACATCCTCCTATCAATTGCTTGAAGTTTCCCACTAAAAAATTAATGTTCTCAATTGAATTTGACTTGTAGCAAAGAGTACTGTGTTATATTATGCTTAAGCTAGTTCTAGAAATGATAATAGAGGCAGTTTATTTGAGCTATTTGCAGATGTAAGTTTCATTTGTTGTTTCAAGGAGTTTATTATGATTTTTTTTATTTTTAGCCTTCTGTCTGTGGGAAAAGCAAGAGATGCTTCAATTTTTCTGATTTTGACCACAGCAGGACACTATTCCCTCTTCCCTCTGCTCTTCACTGCACCAGGTAAACAGCGTCCTTTCGAGCAGCAGATTTGATTGCCATGCCCTTTTCCACAGAGCCTGGAGATCAATACTGTCTGATTTAAACAACTAAAGTCTCTTAGAAGGAGAGAGCTCATCCATTCTCTTAAGTAAAACCCACAATCTGTCCCTGGCTCTCAGTGTCTTCAGATGTCACACAAATGCACAATTGAGCTCAAAAAGCATTACTAGCTCTATGTAGTGGTGTCAGTGTGTTTATAGTGCCTGGAATCTCGCAGGCCTTTCTCTTATCAACTAAATTGTCATCTGTATTTGTTTTTCTTCTTTTAACAGAACTTCCCATTAAAATCTTACTCATGTTACTATTTACCATCTACAGTATTTCCTCACTGAAGACTCTATTCAGGTAATACAAAAAACACATTTAAAGTTATATTTAATCTTGTGAAACGTTTGCTGTTAAATGTGTAATGAGCCTTTTAAAAATTATTTTTAATAACAGTAATATAACAACATTATAGAAAATTAGGAAATAGAGGGAGACATTACCCATAATCCCATTACTCCGACATGCCAACCAAAGATAGACCATATCTTTCGTTTGGGGGAATATTTGAGGAAGGACTACCCGGCTTATAAAACCTGTATGAGAACCTGCCCTGGCTGATGTGGCTCACTTGGTTGGAGTGTCATCTGGTAAACTGTAAGGTCGTGGGTTTGATTCCTGGTGGCATGTGCCTAGGTTGCGGGTTTGGTCTCCGGTTGGGGCACATATGTGAAGCAACCAATCGATATTTCTCTTTTTCTCTCTCTCTCCACTCCTCCCCCCCTACCCCCGGCCTCCCCCCCTACCCCCGGCCGCCCCCCACTCCATCCCTTCCTCTTTCTCTGGAATTTTGTTTTTAAAAAAAACCTTATGTAAGAACTAAAAAATGGAATGTAAAATATGCATTATGTGTGAGTCAAAATTTTTACATATCTTAGAATTACAGATGGAATAGAATCATGAAAGGAATGCTTTTCTTTTCTAAACTTTTTGTAATATTATCTGTATAATTTTTTAGTATTTTCTTATGGTTTGTATCTGAATGTGTTCATGAAACTTTATATATTTACTTGTTTCAAAACTCAGTTATAACAGTATGACCCAGCAATTCCACTCTTAGATGTATACACAGAAGAATTGAAAACAGGTTCTAAAACAGGTACTTGTACACCAGTGTTCATTACGGTGTTATTCCGTAATGAACAGCCAAAAGGTGAAAAGAACCCAAGTGTCCATCCACAAGTGAATGGATAAACAAAAGTGTGTGTGTGTCTGTGTGTAAATACTTTTCAGTCAGAAAGAGGAATGAAGTTCTGATGTATATTCTACAATACGGACGAACCTGGAAAACTTAGGCTAAGTGAAATGAGCCAGAGACAGAAGGAGTCTAGAATGGGCAAATTCAGAGACAGAGAGTGGGTTAGTGGTTATGGGAACAGGGGTGAGGGGAAATGGGCAGTTACTGCTTAATGTTTCCGGAGATTCCCTTAGGGATGATGAAAATGTTTTGAAGTTTTTTTTGTTTATTTTTGGTTTGGGGTTTTTGTACGTGTGTGATGAAAATGTTTGAAAGTAGATAGTGGTAATGTTTGTACAACTTTGTCAGTATGCTCAATGCTACTGGATTATATACTTAAAAAATGGTAAAAAATAAAATAGCAAATTTTATGTTTTTTTACCAAAACAAAAAATTGTGTGTTGTTGCCAGGTTCTTATTTTAACATCACTTCATCTAGCCCTCTTTCCTCTTCTAAATACGTAGCCACAGTAATTCTCTCTCAGAGCTTCAGCTAAGTGACAGCGTAAGTGGATGATGATTGGGTGCATTTGGGTTGTTGAGGTAATGTAACGGTCTGTCATTACCGTTTTTCTAAATGTGAAATTCAGTACATTCTTGCCTCTGGCTTTGGCTGTGCCACATGTCAGGACAGCACAGATGGGAAGCTTTAGCTGAGAAATGTTTGCAAAACCAGAGTGACTCATCTAAATCAGACCTTTCTCTCCTTTTTCTGCAGGAAAGAAAAACCTCTTTTTAATTGGATGGAAACTTTCTACCTCCTTGGCCTGGGGCCTCTGGAAGTCTTCTGTGAATTTGTATTCCCTTTCACCTCCTGGAAGCTGAAGTACTCCTTTCTCCCTTTGCTACTGACCTCAGCGTATTGTGCAGTGGGCATCGCATACGCTTGGTTCAAACTGTATCTTTCAGCATTGACTGACCCTCCTGCCAGCAAGACAAGGAAGCAATGAATAAAGGAACTGCTTGGGTAAATTCCAAGCAATTATTTCATGGGATGTTAATCAGAACTTAAAGAAAGTGCTGGTGGCATGAACCATTCAGTAGAGCTGTTTGAGGACCATTCTTCCAGGCTTGGCCTCTCCCAGCCTAGCAACCTGATGGTCACCATGGTGAGAAGCCAGGCTCCTCCAAAAGCAGCAAAACACATCTGAAAAAAATCTCACCCTGCCCCATCAGCATTGCCAAGCCTTTTCAGGCTGCTGCGTGTGCGCCAGGCAAGCAGGGAAATCTGGTCGACAGCAGGATTATTTGTAGCCTGTGATCACTGCTGTTAGGCTATAAAGTGCAATTAGAATCATGTGCTAAGGGAGATATAAATAAAATACCACTTTTTATTTCTGCATAAAAATTTTTTGGTTCATTACCAGTTTGTGCATCTTCCTAGTGGTATGCACACAAGTAGACAGTGTACTACTGTCCCTGTTCTGTACACCTTGTTCCAGATTTTTTTTTTCATTGGAATTATGTAATGACTATACTCACAGAGCTGGGGGGTATTTAATAAATGGCTTGGTTGTCAGCCAGGATTATAAACCACATCTACTCTTACACTGAGTTAAGGATATCTGGTACAATTCATGTATTTTAATAGCGAGCACTGCAGTTTTGGTAAGGCTGCCGTTTCTCAGACTTTCCTCATGTAGGCAGACCTAAATGGTTTTAGCAGTTTAGCAGCCTGGTCATGTCTCACCCTTCCTTAAGCATACTTCATACACACTTTCTACCCAGTTTGCCTGATATCTGCTGTACATTCAAATTCAGCCAACATTTATCTAGTTGATATTAGGAACTTCCACACGTTGTTATTTATCTATTATCCCCTATTTGAAGATCAGAGAGACTCCAAGGTATTGGCATCCTGGAATGGTAATCCAGCTATCCCATCTCTGAAATTCACTCTGTTTTCCTGGACTTCTTTTGAGGCTCATCACAGATAAAGATGGGAATTTTGCCAAAGGAGGAGGGAAGCCTAGCCCCTCAAGCCTGTTTCCCCACTGCAGTGCCCCTTGCACCCCGTGTTTTTAAATTTAAAATTCCCAGTGTGCCGTGCTGTTTCTTTTATTCGTGTCACTGTTTCCTCATTGCTGATCTTTCTACCCTGTCATCTGATTGTTCATACTTCAAAATTCACTTAACTGCTACTATATCTGTGAAGAGAAAGGTAGTACAGTGTAATGATCAGGAATAGAAGCCCTGGCCTGACGGCTCAGCTGCTTGGAGCTCGTCTCCTTTGCCAAAAGCCTGCAGGTTGCATTCCCAGTCAGGGCACATACCTAGGTTGCTTGTTCAATTGTACAGGAGGCAACTGGTGTGTGTGTGTGTGTGTCTTTCCCTCCCCCCACCTCTCCCTCCCTTCCAGCCCCACCTATGTCCTCCCTTCCCACCCTCCCTCCCTTCCTCTCTGAAGTCAATAAAACATCCCCTGGTGAGGATTTAAAAGAAAAGAACCCTGGAGTGAAACAGCCTGATTTTAAGTCTCGCCTCCATGGTTTTTTGAAATCCGGAGCCAAGTTACTTAGCTATCCTTTGCTTCAGTGTCCTTGTCTTTAAAGTGATCACAAAAAATTAAGAACCCTGCCTGACACATTAAGTGTTAAGTGTTAAATAAATTCATATTTTTGTGAGTCTGCCTTTCCTACCTTCTCTGCCACCCCCTAGAATTGAGTGCCCCCACCATGTGCCCCCATACCATGGCTCTGCTACGGTTCATGGCTGTAATACTTCATTTATCTGTTTTCCCCAAGAGACTAACAGTTTGGGAGCCGAGACCACGCTTGTTTCAATAGCCCCAGTTTTCTGGCACAGTTGAATAAAGGAAACACGCCACACAAGCCATGATTAAAACCTAAATGTTTATAGTATCAGCATTCACGCACGGGGCCCAGTGTAGTGCCTCACATCTTTGCAAATTCGCGTGCAAGCCTAAAAAAGAAAATTAGAGGATGAATTTGGATACATCTCAACAAGGCCAAATTTGGTGGTTGCTGTGTGATGTCAGAACTGGAAGAACCTACCTGGTAAAGAGATTTCCAGAATGTTCTGCAGAGCCCTGAGTTTCTTGAGAGTTGCCTTAGAGTTCTGGACCCAGTCCCATCTTTCCTCAAAGCAAATATGCTTTGCTCCATTTGATATATTAGGTTTCATAATAAGTTTTTGTTTGATTTAAAAGTTGGTGCCAACACAGATTAGAACTCAGACTTCTTCCTGCAACCTAGGACTCTCCGAAAACACTATATTTTGTATTCATGTGTTTAAAACTTTGGGGAGATGTGGGTGGTTTTCAGCAACATATTGCTAGGTTCCAGCAATTACTAAATAGAGTGTTGTTTCAAAACGTTTTGAAATCTAGAGTTAAGCAAAGTCAAGAAGAACAAGCCAAGCTTACTATCAAAGTTTAAACAAATAGACCTGTAAACTCATTCTTTACTTGCTTTATATATATATATATATATATTTATAGATATAAATATATATTTTTTATGCACATACACATTTATATACATTTAAATCCACACTCAAGGATATGTTTATTGATTTTAGAGAGGGAAACATCAATCAGTTACCTCCTGTATGCACCCCAACTAGGTATCAAACCCACAAACTTTTTGTGTATAGGACACTCAAACCAACTGAGCAAGGGCCCTGCTCTCTAGTTTGTATCTAGTTTGTATCCAGTGTGCCAAAATCTCACAAGAGAAAAGTAGGAGGGCCTTGGTATTCTTGGTCCCTGTACCTTTCCCCAGGCAAAGGGATGGAGGGAGCCAGAATGAGAAGGAAACTCCTGGGAAGATGAGCTGTTTCTCCAGCCCAGCACTGATACAGGCCCCCTCTTACTGACTTCCACCTGGGAACTAGCACTGGAAGGGAGCACTTCAGTATCAGAGAGCACTGGCCCCTAGGCACAGCCCGTGCAGCTTCTGTCTGCGGTTAGTGGGAGAACAGAACATGGCCTTTGAAAAAGATGCTGTGCTCTTCAGTGATTTGATGAAATTACATTTCCAGCACGATTGTGGTTTAAAAAAAAATCTTTTGACCCATATATCCCCTTTTGTGCTCCAAAGAAATGGACTTCTGTGCTAATGACAGCTGAAATTAGACAATTTTATACACCTCAAAAACTTCAGTCAATACAGCCATTAGTTTCTCACAGGAAAGCGATATATATAAATGCACTAATTTTTTTCACTCTCAGAAGTCAGAAATAAAAACAATATGCTTGTATATATAAAAACAACTATAGAAAGGACAGGACCCATGGTATACTTATGTCCAGAATCATGGAACCTAAAACTTCAGAAAGGCTCTCAGAAGAGCACTCAGGGCAGATTTATTTTTTATAGTTTTCCTGGCAGAGAACAGACAGCTGATCAGGCAGTGAGGTGGTGTTCACCACCTTACAATGCAGCATTCACACCCCAATAAGTGCGGCTTTTTCATAAGGCATTTAATGCTTAATTAGTATTTTACTTCCTCTGACTTTTACTGGTTGGTCTCTGTAGGGATACATAATGAGCTTCTGCTCCCATTTGTATGGCAGCCCATGAGGTGATGTACAAAGGGAAAACCCTATATTGTAATTCTTTCTGTTGACTGCCTGCTGTGTGCCAAGTACTGGGCTAGGCATTGCCTCTTAATCCTTCCTAAAACTTTGAAAATCAAATTCATTTACCATTGCTTTAAAAAAAAATCACTGATTCCTACTGTGTTATGCACTGTGCTAAGTGCAGGAGATTAAAAGGTAAACAAGAAAAACATTCCTGCCATCAAGGAATTTACGTTCTAGTGGCTAGCGGGCCATAAGAGCCACAAAGAGTGAAGTAGGTTGAAGCTGGAGAAAGTCAGGGCCTATTATGTTATGCAGGGTCTTTTAGTCCTTGTAAGAAATTAAATTTTAAGTCAAATAGAAACCAAAGTGTTTAAAATGTTCTGAGTCACATTTCCATGTACATGGAGCGAAATTTAACAGGTCCCCAGCAACCCAGTTCCCTTACTAAAATGATGCAGACACTGGCCCGCAGTGTCTGAGTCATTATGGATGAAATGAAACATTCACATGGACTACCAAGTCTGGTGGAGGAAAAGGGGCAGCATGGCTTTTCTCTCAAGGGGAGCAAAAGCCATGGCCTCTGCCATGACAGGCCTTTATTTCCATCTCTGGGCACATTACATGATGGTCCTCATTTACTATGCACAGGTTCGCTTTAGGTGGTTACCTTTTACAGAAACAAAGGAGCCGATGCTGCTAATCACATCACAGAAGAAAAGTATTTGCAATAAAAAGGGAAAAGTGGTTGAACCAGTTACATTCATCCTTGGAAGGTTTAGCATGGATTTTAGGAAGTAATTTTGCAGTAAATGTCCTCAATTCAGGGTGAGGGAGTTTTTTAGCAAGAGCAAGGCTCAAAGCAGCCTAGGCACATTGCAGGCCTGATTCCCCACGGGAGAACCTATCTGTAGGCGTGGGTCCTGTGCATCTCCAAGTGGGAGCTGAGCCCACGCCACACAGAACGGTCTCCTACACTAAGAGGCAACCATTACATTATTATCTTGTGTATTATGCCAGGGATTCTGGAGATATTCTATGCATAGACAAGTGCTTACATACACACAATTAATACATACTGTTATAACCTTACTTTTTTTTTTTTTTTAGTGTATGATTTGGGAGTACATTCTATCACCAGTACATGTAAAACCACACCATTCTTTTAACAGCTGCATAGTATCTATATAACTGTCTATTGCTGGGCAACAAACCCAGTGACTGAAAACAACACATTTATTATCTCACAACTTCTGTAGGTCGGGAGGCCAGGCACAGCTTCTCCGGTCCACAGCCTCAGGGTCTCTCACAGGCTGCAATCCAAGTGTTCTCATCTCAAGGTTCCACTGGGGGAAGGATCTGTTTCACACTCACATGACTATTGGCAGAATTTGGTTCTTTATGGGCTGTAGGTTTGAGGGCTTCGGTTTCCTGCTGACTGTTGGACAGAGGTCACCCTGAGCTCTTTGCCACATGGGCCTCTCCATGGAGTAACTCATAACTTAGCAGCTGGCTTCATTCAAGTCAGCCAGGGACAGAGTGGACTAACAAGACAGACTTATTATCTTATGTAATGTTACCATGGAAGTCACATCCTGTCACCTCTGCCACAGTTTATAGGTTAGAAGGAAGTCTCCTGTCCCACCCACACTGAAGGGGAGGGGATTACCCTAGGGCTGAGTGCCTGTAGGCAGAGACAAGCGGGAGGCCATCTTACAGTCTGTCTGTTACAGCATCTGTGTTTAGACAGACCATAATTTATGTAACGAGTGTCCTCTTAATGGACACTTGGGTTTTTCCGGTATGTTTACCAGTAATAAACTGCAACTAATGTCAATGTTTCATTTCTACACATGTGCTAGGATGGGGTTAAATTTCTAGAAGTGGTATTTTCAAGTTGGAGGCTATGTACATTTATAATTTTGGCAGATGTTGTCAAATTAGTCATAGAAGTTGCACCAGTTTATGATCCAAGGCAAGGTATGGTGCCCATTTCCCCACAAACTTGCCAACATAGTGTGTCATTAGTATTTTAGATCTTTGCCAATGATATCTCAGAGTAATATTCATTTGCATTTCTCTTTTGAGAGATATTAGAGTCTTTCTTTATGTTTAACAACCATTGCTACTTTCTCTTCTGACAACTGTTTATGGTCTTTGCCACTTTTTCTATTAAATTTCTCATCTTATCTACTTGGGTGTTGAAATGTATTTTCTTTTTTTTTAAGATTTTATTTTTATTTATTTTATTTTTATTATTTTTTTTTAGAGAGGGAAGGGAGGGAGAAAGAGAGAGAAAGAGAAACATCAATGTGCGGTTACTGGGAGTCATGGCCTGCAACCCAGGCATGTACCCTGACTGGGAATCGAACCTGTGACACTAAATGTATTTTCAAAAAGTTACTCCAGTTACTCTGTGGAGAACTGCCTGGGTGCAAGATTACAGAGTTTGACCTGGCTGGTGTAGCTCAGTGGATTGAACACGGGCCTGCGAACCAAAAAATCACTGGTTCAATTCCCAGTCAGGGCACATGCCTGGGTTGTGGGCGAGGTCCCCAGTAGGGGGCATGTAAGAGGCAACCATACACTGATGTTTCTCTCCCTCTCCTCCCTTCTCCTTTACCCTCTCTCTAAAAATAAATAAATAAAAGCTTTAATTAAAAAGATTATAAAGGGGTGGCAGTGTGACGTAGAAGCAGATGGATTAGGGGTTGGAATGGACAGTAGTTGGAAATGGACTAGATATAGGGCTTGAGGGTAAGCAAAGAATCACAGATGATCCCTATGTTTCAGGTGTTGCACCTGGATGGATGGTGGCATTGTTTACTGTGGTGGGAAATGCAGGACATGCAAGTGAGGGACGTAAAGATGGCATTAAGAGCTTTGTTTTAGAAACTGTAAAATTTGTAAAAGAAAACTTAGGGCCTTGCTTTGAAAAGATTTTTTAAAAGACATAAAACAAACTGTAAAGAAAAAGATTAGACTGATATATTTTACCACATCAGAACTTTTAACTTCTGTGTACTAAAAGACCTTATAAATAAAAATAAAAGACAAAAAAAAAAACAGATTGCAGGGGGAGTATTTTGTAACATATATAACAGACAAAAGGTTTATATTACCTCACATAAAAAATTCCTACAAATCATTTAGAAAAACACAACCCTGAAGAAAACAAGCAAAGTATGTGACTAGGTGATCAAACAGAAGGAAACTCAAATGGCAAATAACTGCGGAAAGAGGTACGCGTTTTCACCGGATAATAGGGATATGCAAATTAACGCAACATTGAGATCCCGTTTTTCACCACCAGACAAAGACTAAATTCTGACAATAGGAAATATGGCTCCTTTCACATAAATTGTGGATAGAAAGGAAATTGAATCAGTGTCTTTATGGAGGCATTTGACATTATCTTGTAAAATTGAAAATGTATATATTCGCTTTTTTCTCCAGGAAAAAACAAATGCTGGGTGGCACAGGTGCTGTAGGAGGACCTGGAGGCCCCGCGGGCCCTGGAATGGGAGGCTGCGGTGGCTTCCACGGAGGATTTGTCAGGGGCATCCAGCCGAGGTCACGGCCGGGGGTCGGTGTCGGGGTCGGGTTGAGGCCGTGGAGCTCTCGGAGAACAAGGCATGGATCCCCGTCACCGAGTTGGGCTGCCTGGTCAAGGACATGAAAATCAAGTTCCTGGAGGAGATCTCTTTTCTCTGCCCATCAAGGAATCTGAGATCTCTTTTCTTGGGGAGTCCCTTAAGGACGAGGTTTTGAAGATTATGCCCTTGCAAAAGCAGGCACATGC